CACACACACACACCCACACCCACACCCACACCCACCCACCCACACACACAGAAACACAAGCACACGTTGTGATCAAGAGCTCTGTACGCCATCCGTGTTCCTTTTACGTTTGTTGCGACGTCTTTGAAGCTCCTCTGTGTTTTGTTTCGTAATAACTGTGTTTGCGACGTAGGTATTTAATGCTTCTATCAATTGGTAATTTGAAGAAAAGTTAACTCTAGTGTTGATCGTTAGCTTCTGTCTAAAAATATATGAATGAAAAAAATTGATGGAGGTGCGCACAAATCAAAATAAATTGTCTCATCTCAGTGAAATTAATATTTTAAATGATTTTTATCTTGAAAACGGCCTATATAATGTTTTATTTACCCACGCTGATAAAAGTTAGGATACTATTGTGTATGATCTAATCGTCATACAAAATGGGTGGTTCATGGATTCTCTGGTGTTGTTTGCTCCTTCTTTTCTGTCAAACATCGATCTATTGTCCTGATCTTTGCTCTTTTATTGTGTATGTAGCCTCTTGTAACACCTCTAATCTTCGGCACTAATATGACCTAATTGCATTTCAAGTGCCATTAAATGTTTTCTAAGAATAGCCTTTACATTCAGTGTTTTTGTGAAATGAAGATGCATAAAACAACAATAAATTAAAATTTAAAAAAAAGAAAGAAAATTAAAAAGTAAAGGATAAAATTTTCTTCAAAATACTTTTGTAACCTGGTTTTATGGTCAACGATGAAGGTTAGGAATAGGAAGCAATATTTTGTTTCCATATATTTGACTTTTTTCTTTTTGCTACGACACCGTCAACTCGAATAGAGTGGGGAATACATAATATTATTATTATAATTTCTGAACCATTATACCAGAGCCGCCACTTATCACCGCCTTAAATTAACCAGAGGTCAACTCTGAGACTCGAAACGCGCTGTAGGACGTTGATGGTATAATATTATGATTAAAATTCATTTCTGAAAGCACAGGTCCCCTCCCTGTCTGGCTGTCTGCGTGTTTATCTCTTTGTCTGTCTTGCCCCGATCTGAATGGTTTCAATTTATCGCAGACCCAGGCATATAGACACACACACATAAACGTGCTTAAGCAGACTCAGACAGACACAACTGTAAAGATGTGCACAAACACATACATACATACCTGCACAGTCTTTCATTCCTGAATAAACAGATAGACACAGTCGTACAGAAATGATAAATCTGATCCTTAACTTTGGCTCAATCCTCCCTTGAATTTAGCAGTCGCCGGGAGAATCTGAGCGCAGAAAGTAATATTGAGATTTTTTATTCTAAGCTCCTCTGTATGTCTGCTAACAAACATCCAACCTCTGACGTTGTCAGACCAGCCTTTTCTTTGTCGTCTTCTACTGAAGATGAGATAGCCTTTACTTTTACTGATCCATGAGGAACATTTTGGGTGGATATACACAGAATCAGCATCAATATGGAAATGCTCGAATTCATGTAGAGCTACGTTGGATGCACAACTCAATCACAATGCGTATGCAAACATGCAGTGTTTCCAGTTTCCAAGATCATAAACTCTATCCCCCCTTCTCTCTCTCTCTCTCTCTCTCTCTCTCTCTCTCTCTCTCTCTCTCTCTCTCTCTCTCTCTCTCTCTCTTTCTCAC